GTGTGTGTGTGTGTGTGTGTGTGTGTGTGTGTGTGTGTGAAACAGTTTCAGCACAAATACAGCCTGTGATGCAGGTGAATAATAATTAAAAAGTAAATCTTGGATTACCTCTCGGTGAGGTCGGTGCTCCATCCCTCTGCTGCCTCTGTTGTTCATCACTTTTCTCCGTTCAGCTGCTCCTCTTTGTGGTTTGCTGTCTGCCTGTTTCCAGATGTGCGAAGCCTCTGCTGTCCACACGTCTCACCGCAGTCGTTTCTACCACCAGCGCAGATGTTGGCATGACGGTTTACTAGATGTTTACTTTTTCCACCTTCCTCGGATGAATTGTTTCTTTTGAGCAGAGAGAAGTTTCTGAGCTGAGATGTGACGACGTCTCTGTTCTGCAGTGTTGGAGATTTCTGTGAAACGTTTTAAATTTTAAGTTTCCTTAAAGTCATTTTAAAATACATGATTAACATACTTTGTTTGTGTCCTCTTGACCGGTTTAGATATTTAATACTTATTTATTTCAAAGCTTATGGCTCACATTAATGCTCAGATCAWTGCTTTTATCATTTTTTACATTATTATCATAAACACAAACAGTATATTGTTTAGTTAATCAAAGAGCAGTCCCTATAATAATGGCTATATYAGTCATTTTTACAGATGTTGAGCTAAAATTAGGTGTGGTGGTACCTGAGAGTCATTCCACAACATGTACTCTGAGAGCTCTTTGTTTAAAGCTTGGGAGGCRTCTGGTCATWTGCATTCCTTCAAGAAATGCCAGTGTGTTTTGATAAATTGRTGCTAAAGTAAAACACTATTTCCCAAAATACTGAATTGTCTAATCTTCTGATCTTCTTGTTTTGAAAACAGGAGGAAGTGCTGCGATGGATTCAGGTTTGTGATGGGCCAGTGCATACCTGAAAGTAGGTAAACCAAAAACTGTTCACGATTTCCTGCTCTGCTCTTTTATTTTTCCCCATAATTGTTTGTARATTAGAACAGCATTAAGTGAACAGATGTGCAATTTGAGCTTTAATTACATTTGATTTTGCCATTTGAAGGTTTTGCAATGTTTGAGCCAAATATGCAACATTTGCATAAAGTAGAATAAATTCGAYTGTAAAACAAGATGTGCAGGTTGGAGAGAGCATTTCTGCAGAGTTACAGTGTTCGCCACTAGAGGGCACTGTGGCTCCATATTGACCTTTACAGCATTTGAAGAAAAAAACAAAAGCTTTCAAACAACTCAAGTGATGCAAATAGGCCTTAAAAGGGGTTGACTATTTAAAAATGTAGACGACGTTTCACATAGTTCTGTTTGTGTCGACAGTTCCAGAAAAGCAACAATAAAGTTAAATGAAAACATTAGTGATCAGCTTCTCATTCAATGTGGCAGCATTTGAAGTTTTGAAATGAGGCATGAGGGGATCAGATATGAGAAGTGTGCGTGATGATATAACAATTTATCTAAACCCAAATACACACAAACAAATTTAACAGTCTGATTAAAAGTCTTTTGCAGCAAACTGTTGTTTTTATTCTGCTGTTTAATGCAAAGTGTAGTTACCCACTGTGGGTCAGTTTATTAAATTAACATTTCTTTTGCTCACATCCTATCGATTCATGATAATGTTAAACTTCCCGCTTGGACATAAAAACATTCTAAAATGAAGTAGATTCTTGTGTTCAGTCTGTGTTTTCCTGCAGGTGTGGACGTGTGTGCGGCGTCGCCCTGTGAGCAGCAGTGCACTGAYAACTTCGGGCGGGTCGTYTGCACGTGTTACCCCGGCTATCGCTTTGACCGGGAAAGACACCGCACCCACAAATCCCCCTACTGCCTGGGTCAGTTCAGTCTCTTCTCAGGATTTAGTTGTGTCATCAAGACTCATTAAGAAAATTATTTTTAAACACACCTTTTTAGACATTTATAACCATTTTGTGTTTGTCCCGTGCCTTTCCTTCCCTGTTCCAATTCATCCTGCTAATCCACAGATATYGATGAGTGTGAGGACGCCAGCAGCAGTTTGTGTGATCATGAGTGTGTGAACACGGCAGGCAGCTTTCAGTGTCGCTGTCGCAGTGGTTACGTACTCGCACCGGACCTGATGTCCTGCATCCCCGTACACACCTGTAAGTCTCTGCTTCTGCACATTTTTCAGACAGCTAATGGCATCTGCAGTCGTTAGCCAACAGTCGAATCACTGCTCAGGAATGAGCCAAACATGATAAAGAGCTCAGGGTGTTTAACCTGACTCCCAAAGATCCCAGTGTCAACCAGCAAATGTGCCTGAGACTAAACTGCACACGTCGTGTGACAGACAAACAAGCCACACCTGATAACCATCAGAATTAAGATTAATGTTCAGGGTGACAAATCTTCTGCAAAATGACGTCATGGAAAATATTTACGTTTATTTTGACAGAGAAGTGCAAGTCTGACCCTATGTCACGTTAAAAATCTGTGATGGCTAGATGTCACAAGAAGTAGCAAACATTTAATGATGTGACTGCTTAATCTATGCTCAGCACAAAAAGTAAAGAAATGTGTGTTTGGCAGATTATTTCTTTGTAATGCTTCTTGGCAATAAATCTTACATCAGGCACCTGATTAGCAGCACCTGGAGGGACCAGAAGCTCAAAACAAGTGTCAATAACAGCAAAAAAAGCTGTTTGGCAGCAGATTTGGCAAATTTTCCATGTGTGCAACCCACACACTCAGCTCTTCTCCCACAAATGCATGTTCCTTACAAATGTGGCACCAATTCAAAGGCAAATTAACAGACTTTCTGATGATTTATTGCCTAAAAAGCATCTCTTAATAAAAACTGTGCACATGTTTTGTTGGGCAGTGAGTTCATCGGGGAAGTCAGACACCTTGATGAGTGCTGGTTCCTGCTCCTTCACCTGTCAGGATTTCATCAACATGAAAAACAATCTGCTTCAGTTAAAACTGCAGCTGGGAAACACGCCGTCGTCCAACCAGGTAACAAACAAAACAAAACAGAACCAAACTGCTGTTCTGTGGTTATTCATCTTTCTCTGCTGTTGTTTGTAGGTTTCCGGTCTGGCAAACAGCAGCGACAAACCGTCTCAGGGACGAGGAGGGAAAAGCCCCGATGGTCCTTGTCTTCCTGGTTTACCTGGCCCTCCAGGAGCTCCAGGTGCCCCAGGTAATGAAGAGGTGACTACAATGTTAGAACTGGATCAGCRCCACTGGCTACAGATGCTGAATGTGTAGTATGACACAGTATTGGAGAAGGATTTTGTCATATTTTTCACCTGTTTTAACCAGGACACCCAGGAGAACCAGGAAACCCAGGAGAGCCTGGGGAGAGGGGCGGGCCTGGTCCACGGGGAGACATGGGACCCATCGGTCCAGAACCTGACCTGAGCCATATAAAGAGGGGCCGCAGAGGGCCAGTGGTAAGAAAAGAAACTACTGGCAACTTTATAATCAACCCACTAGAGTCAGTAACACAGAAAATATTTTAAAAAAGCCTTGCAAACTGGAGGTCAGGGTTTAAATACAACAGAACACTMTGGTTTTATGACATTTCTCTTTTTTTTCTTTTAATGTTTTTTAAAGTTATGTTCTGGGTAAAAAAAACAACAAATCACTGAAAACTTCAAACAGACACTGGCATGAACCATGTCAGCTGTATGTTGTGTGTGTCCTGTCCATGTTTGCAGGACTTTTTTAAAAAACTCTGCAGGGGAACAGAAATAATAGAAATAAAAACAGAAGGTTGCTGTTTTTATTTATTTATTTATTTATTTGTTTATTTATTTATTTATTTATTTATAGCCTTTTTGATACAACCCTCTTAAAATTGATGTTAATAAACTGTATATATATATTTTATTTGTTTTTATTGAAATACTTATTTTTATAAATCAATTTTTATGAATGTCTGTATGTTTTGTTTGTTTTATGGAACTACAGATGGAAAAAATGAGCATTTTGCTAAATCCAGTATATTTATGACAGCACATTCATCAATATGCACAGTCCCATTTAAATAAAATCAATCAATCAACGTTTGTTTGATCATGTTGTCATCGTTCTCACAGGGACCACCAGGGGCACCAGGAAGAGACGGATCAAAGGTTTGTTAAGTTCATCTTTCATCCTCATGCGGTTTCATTACCAGGTATTACCTGCCACTCTGAGTGGAGTGGCACCAATCACTGCTGGAGGCGTGGGACACCTTTGGACAAGTCTCTAATCCAGTTCACTCCAGTTCAGTGCAGTTGGCTTCAGATCTGCCCAACTTAGTTCTCTTCTGATAAACCAAATTCTTTATTGGCAATTTGAAGGAAACATCGAGTCTTTAGTCTGGTTCAGTTCTCCTTTTGATCGACTCATGTCAGGTTCSTGGTTGTCTAATTTAGTTTTGTGATTTTATATTTCAAGTTTGTGTTAGTTTATCTTAAAAGCAATTATTTTATTAGGTGYATAACTTGGTTTGTGTTTGTTAGTCTTTTTTTCTGCTCTCCCTGAACACCTGTTCTGCTTTGAACCAACACTTTCAGTCAGTAKTATAGTTCCTGGCTGTTTCTGTGTCATGTCATTGTCTATCTTTTACTTACATGTGTAATTAAGCATTTATATGGCCTCTTTATTTTATTTKTTCACTTAGTAAAGCATAYTTAGTTCCTCACATATCTGCTRCACCTGTTTTRGGCCTGAAAGGTCTAACTAATCTTTACATAAAGCATGTGCAGAAAGCCCATTGATGGGTTTGTTCTTTTTTTTCTAACACATAAAGTCACTAAAAATTGTGTTTTTTGCTCACATGATTAAACACACATCACCCAAGCTAAACTGGTTCATTTGTGCTACAATTATCTACAGGGTGAGAGAGGAGCTCCTGGTCCCAGAGGTCCACCTGTAAGTGTGATTACTCATTCRTGTATTCATTAATCTCTCTTTTGTTTAATTCAGAGTTATACAAAATTATTGTATTCCCATGTTTTAAGTTCTGGTTGTTTTTAGTTCTTCACACTTTGCTTCAGCAAAACATAACCAGTCACAGTAATTGCTCAGTTTCTTGTTTGCCTCCAGGGACCACCCGGCTCCTTTGACTTCCTGCTGCTCATGATGGCCGACATCCGCAATGACATCATCGAGCTCCAGGAGAAGGTGTTTGGCGAGCGGCGTGACCTCTCTCTGGATAGCCCTCCTCAGACCAGCGGGGAGGAGGACTTCGTGGAGTGGGGCTCTGGACGAGAAGACCTCAAGTTCAACACCTGACCCATTCACAAAACGGCCGGGACGATCTCTGGTTGGAAACCGGAGAAACAAAACACCAAACCTGGAGATCAAAGCACCAACACGTTCATAATCACTCTTCTCTCGGCTGTGGTGAAAGAAGCAATGCGCGTTGGATAAACACTGACAAGCGTAACACTGAGAGAACAGTCTCATCTCTAAACACTTACAGACACACGTGTGGATGTGACAGAGCTGTGTGTGCAGGACACGGAGTGACACGCAGCTATTTGAACTCTTTCAGATGAGGAATTTTATCGTCTACTTCTCTTCCTCTTCCTGACCTCGTTCATGGAAGCTCAGCTGAGGCAGTGATGGATCGTTTTTCAACATATTTGTACATTTTTTTAAAGAAAGACTCAGAACGGTCTGTCTTTTTCAGCACCTGTGTGTGGAGAAGATACCTGAGCTGTGAAGTTGATGTACAGGTATTGAGGTAAAATACAAACAATTCAAGAGACTCACGAGCCRTGTGATGCTGAAGCTGCACAACATGATTACTCAGCTTCACTTATGATATTCAACATGTAGAAGCTGCAGGGATGTGCTGTGTTGAGGTCATGAATCATTGCTGTAATTGAATACAGAGAATTATAGTAGCGTTACATATGACTGTACACAATAAAACCATCATAATGAAAACAAAGTAATATTTTAATCTCTTCAGTTTATTTCAAAGATGTTTTGTGAACTCATTGTTAGGTTATTGGCTGAGATGAATGCTGGACATATTCTACAACAAACAGCTGACCCAAATCTGGAGGAATACAAAGAACTGCTTGAAAAGTTTTCCTGTTTTCTGTGTGTAATTGTTTCTGCTACAGAGTGAGGACCGTCATGTTTTAAACCAACAAAATTAGGAACATTTTGGAAAATTAGGACATTTTCTCGATCCTCACTGTTTTTGCAGCTCTACTGTTCTAGTTAGGATTAGAGGTATGGTGTGAAGTAAGTTTTGGTTAAGGTTAGGGTTAGGGACAGACTAGTACAGGTTAGGGTTAGGGAAATAGGTATAAATGCAGTGACAATATGAGTGAAAGTCAATTCAAAGTCCTCAGTTTGATGGAAGTACAAGGATGTGTGTGTGTGGCCGGGGGGGGTGTTTCGGGTGATATTTGGGGGCAATTTTAAGACAAAAATCCTACCTTTGGGGACAACTGGTGCATTTGGGGACAAAAGTCGAGTCCCCATTTGGTTAAAATGTCATTGGTGGGTTGGGGGTTAAGTTTAGGACCAAGGTGTGAATTGAGTTTAGGTTAGTTTTAGGGTCAGGTAGGTACCTGTGAGGTTAGCCTTAGGGTTTGTGGTCAGGGTTAGGCTGTAGAAACATAATGGAAGTCAAAGGAATGTGGCAGCTAATCAAACTTGGATACAGTAAAATTTATAGTTTAGTATAAATTAACATGGTGGCAGTTCAGTGTCATCCACAACACGAACTCCAAGCAGTGACTGATCCTGTGAGGTCTTATAATATGTCTGCGATTTTACAGAAACTCACATAGCAGACAGGTGTGGGTCAAATGTGGTGTCAGGCTGACACGGCAAGTGGTTTGTCAGCCGATGTGGGCCGGGTCTGGCAATGATGGCACTGTATACGATTGGAATTCCACAGCTGCCCCAACTGGGGTCTGCTTTATGTGGCCCAAATATGTCAGTGTCACAACTGGCCCAATTGTGTTTTGGTTTTTGTTGGACTGGCCCAACCATGGCCCACATCTTGGCCACCAAAAGGGCTGTGTCTGCACCAAATGTTAGTGCATTGTGTGGACCAGAACTGGGCCAGACACATTTTGCTATGTAAGAAGTTATTATCAATGTTTGACCAAAAAGGCTGAGACATTTGTGGCATGAAAGTCAGTATATTTCAAGGCCTTGCATTTTAGCCTTGGATTAAAAAAAAAAAAAAATAATAATAATAATAATAAAACAACTGGAACATTCAGTCGTGTTGATGCTCGTTCATCAGTGTTTGTTTTGACAGTTATTGCAAAATAGCAAACATACAGCATGTACTGTACTTGCCAAACATGTAACACAAAAAAACAAAATAAAATAAAATAAACACAACATAACATCAAATTGTGAAATGTATTTTGCAAGAATACTTTTTGTATTGCACAATCAGCATGTAGATTAACCATAATTATAATTGGAAATAGAAAATCCCTCACTGTTTGGTGAATGGATTAGTTAAAGGGAGTTCTAGTGTATTTTTTTTCTGCCCAAGTCTTTGAAACCACAACATTTCTGTTTATTTATTTATATTTCAAAAGCATTAGAAAAATTATTTTCAAACTCAAAGCCAGCTGGGAGATCTTTGTTAGTTGTGCACTTTAACCGACTAAACTTCACCTGTGTGAGACAATCTGCAATAGAAGAGTGGACTTTATTCCTCAGCAGAGGGCGCCAAGTTACAGATCATCTTTGAAAGAATCAGTTGATTTTACCTGCAGGATTTTTATGCTCTGAACCGAATTCAGTTTACTTCAGAACATACATTTAAAACATGTATTTACTGATAAAAAAAAGAAATACATTACTGTTTACATGATGCTTTCACTTTTCATCTTCAGCAACAGCATTGCTTGACTGGGTGCAGTTATGAGGGGTGTAAACATTAGAGGTCAAAAGTTCAAGTGCTTGGGTTGAAAAACAGCTGAAGGAATGATTACTTACCAAAACAGTGTCAGATTGAGGAGGAAAAAACTAAATATTTTCTTCATGTTTTGACTGAGTTCATGCTGTGTGATAACTGATAAGAAACTGTTGAAGAACGTGCGCTTCTGTCTCGATGGACTTCTCACTGCTCACCAGCTCACTCCCCCGCCGTCACTGCTCAGCGACCAGGGATCAGGAAAAACGACCTGAATCGGTTTAAGTACCATGTCAGTAAGAGAAAGTAAAGAGACTGTAGGAGATAATCTCAATTCATTCACCACCTGTCATGAAACCCATGTTTTGTTTTGTTTTGTTTCTCTCTCTCTCTCTCTCTCTCTCTCTCTCTCTCTCTCTCTCTCTCTCTCTCTCTCTCTCTCTCTCAGCCTGCAGATATGCTGAACGTAGTGTCAATAGAGTCCACCTCAATAAGCAAAAAACTCGCATTACAGCAGGAGGCAGGAGATGTCATATCCATCAACAAGACGAAAAGCTCGGGTTACTTCTTATCTTATTTTAAATCACCATACACTATTTTACATTTCATGTTAGTTGGGAAAATGACACAATAATACATTTTTATGGCAAAAACTTGGTTGGTTTTCTACGACTGTATGCCGCTTATGTCCATTTCAGTTTCAACTCTTTATTCATTTCATTAAAACAAAACAAACAATTTTATATACAATAAAAAGAAAAATATAAAAAGAAAAATA